CCTGCCGGATGGAGCCCCACTGGAGATACAGTTGAGGGAGCAATGTGTGTAGGTGAACACCACCATATATACTATTGATCGACATTTGCCTGGGTCAGTGTGAGTTATATTTACAAATTGACAAAAGTCGACTCTCAGTGGCAGGCGCCACAGCTGTTACTCTCGCCTCTAGTGACTGTTCCGAACGGGCACAATTAGCCGGTGTGTCCTTGTCATATATAGGCCTAGTGCCCCCTTTCTTTGACAGAAGAAGAATGGGCCGTGTATAACTGGAGCCTGGCGATTGTCCTGCTTCCTTTGTAACTCCTATCGAGGATTTGTTCGGGTCTTTGCACTAAGAACAATTGAGGGTAACATCCTGTCAGTTTTGTAGAGTCGGATGCCGTTTCCTTATGATAGATCCACGGTCCATAGTCATGTATATCATACACCCATGAGTGTGATGGTCCCTGTCACAAGACAAACACACATTGTTCATACTTTGGGTTTGTGTATAAGTTTGTATATGTTGATAAACAGTAGTTTACATTTGATTGAATTTTATTTTCCCCGTCCATTCAATTGTGATCTACCATGCTCCTCGTGTACTCGGTATTTTTGGTGAATGGAAACTATTTAAAAAAATAAATAAAAAAAAATAGATATTAAAATTATATTTATTTTTTACAATATAAAAAACTAAATGTATGATACATGTAGCTGTACGTTATTATTCGAGTTTGCGTAGGGTGCTTTGGAGAATTGCCCGTGGTCTAATTGGTGTGGCACGTAGTCCTCTGTTTCTAGCATATATAGGTATAGGGCCTTAATGGTATTTCTGTAAAATATTTATAATAATTCCATCTTTTCATCGTTTGAGAACAATACGATCAGGTGACGGTGAACCGTTGTCACCGTTGGGCGATCGCTAATGTGTTGTGTGTGTCACCCACCGAATAGTGTGCCCGGTGACAATGAAGCGGTAATGGGTCAGCACCACTCCCGCTAATGCAGTCCGTGAGCCCTCGGCCATTAGGAGCACGTCTCGGACATGTTCGCACTCTGCAACCGCTAGGGGGGCGTGTTATAGTCCACTAACTCAGACAATTTCGATAGACAGTTGTTCTGTACCTTATAGGTATTCAGTTCCAGTCTTTTGAAAGTAGGCTTTCTATTAACGGGGTCTGTATCCGTCCCTTTAAGAGGAAGGGGGTGGGGTGCAAGAGTCTTGGACGTATACTATATATAAATTGGCTGTTTCACTTAACGTACAATTTAGGCAAACATGCTGAGTCTTGTAATTACTACGTAAATTGTCCGTTAACATCAAATTTGGATGTCATTATTTGGAAGAAAGCAGAAATACAGCAGAAAAGGCAATGCAAAAAAACGGAGAAAATGTATCAATCTTTTGCTAGCAAGCGTAATAATCTTGATCTATGAGCGCCGAAAATGAACAAATAATAAAACATGGTGTCATCATCATTCTGTGTTCCTTTTTTAAGAGGAAAAGGTGTATTTATTTACTTTTATATAAATTACGTGTTAAAGAAATATTCTGCACCTATGCTCCTTCTTTGAGATATTCCTTTATTGATGTGCAGTCCTTACTAAATTTACGTTATAACCCATCTTGCCTCTAACTCATTAGTTCGGAATTCATCAAGTAAAGCGGGAATGTTGTTCTCGAAGACATCGGTTGTCATTCGTGATAGAAGCTTGTGGGGTTACAAATCGTAATACATTATGAACTGTTTTCATAAGAGTATCTCTTAAAACTGATTTGATATGACAGTGACCTTACAAAACGTGTATTAGTACTGTAGGGCCTTTGTCACTTGCATAACAGTCTTTCGGTCACAGTTTGATTGAATTTACGTCAAAAATTGCCAAACCATGTGCGCATTTCGACTTTTTCAACCTAAGCCAAATGTCAGTCAACGAAAATTACCATGGTTACCTGTACTAAAAGCTGGAAAAATGGTGACCCGTATTGTATAACGAGTGTGTGACCTAATACATTTTCTAATAAACAGTTTTACTAACATTGAATTGAGAATAAAGGGTTTAGGCAAAGTCAATATGACTGAAAACAGTTTGCTTCGTAATCGTGTTTGTTTCACACGTTACAACGTTAGTAACAGTGTCGTCATAAGGACGAGAATCCTCCTCCCAGACGCACGAGAGCCAACCAAACTGCTAAGTAATAGTTAGACCGATATGCAAACAGCCTTGGGGTGATAACATTTGGTGTCGGTTACAATCAATATGGTTCGTGTCGACACTACACCCGGGGTACGCACAATGCTACACACAGCTAACATGGTCGCTCACCTCAATCACGCCAGAAAACGATATCTGCTGGTAAGTTGGCTTTGTACTCGTTAGTCGTTTCTCAATAATCATTTATGTATAAATATATATTAACAATTGAGGTGGATACTAATTGGAGCTAGCTTGATGTGACACTACGTATTTGCCACTGAAACAGGGGACTGTCGATTTCCTAGATGACCGACCATCTGTTCCTCCCTTGAATTACACCATTTAGTAGACGATGTGTCGCGTACAATTTCATAAAGCCTAACCAAAAGTCAAAGTCACAATGTTTTGTCCTTCGGGTATCTACCTGAACTATAGATTGTCATATTACAAGGTCAACGGTCATCTTCGGTGAAGTATTTTTATTCTCGATATGTTGATGAGTGTTCTATATTTTGGCCTTGAATCAAGGTCAAACGCAATAATACTTTGTAATGTAGGGGCTTTTATCACTTTATATGTTAGAGACATGTATATATATATATATGTAATGTATCAAATTGTAATATGGAATTCTTAATACTGTGTTTTTCCTAGGATATATTACATTTTAATAAAGGAGAAATGTATTACATTGTAATGTAGAGACAATGCAAACATTGTAATTTAGCAATATGTATTACATTGTAATATGAAGATGTGTATTCCATTGTATAATGTGAGGGACATGTATAACATTGTAATGTTCGGGGAATGTATTGGGATTTATATTCCATTGCCATGTAGGGAAATGTGTTACATTGTAATTTTTGGGGAAAATGTAGGGACATGATTGAATAAAATTGTAATTCTATAGGAAATTAGAGACATGTTTAGCATAGTAATGTGGGGAAAATGTATTACTACATAATTGTGGGATATATCTATTAATTTGTAATGAGAGAGACATCATCGTGCATTGCTTGAATTTATTAATTAATGTTGGTTATGTTTTATACATGTTAAACAGACGTACTGCCTCAGATGCAAGTTTTTGAATATCATTATATCTATAGTTAGGAACAATGCTTGGTTATGACTTTCAACACAATGGCCACCTGCTTGGTCAGTTTTCACTGGCCGAAGTTGGCCATCTCCGCCTCCAGCCAGGGTGTGTGTGCGAGACCAATTTCCCCAAATGCTCCCGTAATTTTGACCAGAGGGACATTAACAAAGGGAAATCAATACTTTCTTCTCGGCTACGTAACTCATGGACTGGCCATCTGATGTCCGGAGCCATAACGACCATCCAAATGACCGGTAATCTGGTTGTGTTGCCTTGGTAACAGCAGAAGGTCAAGGCAAACTTTTAAAGAAATAATCTGTAGAAGAACATGCACTTATAACGTGTAGAAGTATATTGTTGATTGTTGAGATAAACGTTCGTCTGAAATGTACCATTACTTTTGTGTATTGGGTACATCTTTGTACGTGTCATTGACTTCTGTCTCCAAGTGTGAGGGACAGAGAACCATATACACTTTGTTGTGTTCCTGTAAGTCGATACTAGCGTGTATATTTCTACAGATAACACATAACTGGCCGTTTGTGATGGCGGTGACAGGCATGGCGTGGAATAGTTGACGCCCTACGGTTTCTCTGAGAGCGCCTTCGTACTATGACAAACCCCGGTTCTGTACATTTGTCTTTGTGTATCAGAGGCAATAGCGGTGTATTGGTGACATTTCCTTCCTTCTATCAAATAAAAGCCGCTCTGCATACAGTCAGTTGTTGCTAAGTTAGCGTGTAGCTGTAACTGTGATATTAAGAGTGGGATGTTGATGACGGGGACTAGTCTAGGCCGAGCAGTGTTTGTACCTCAGAGTCACCGGAGAATCAAAAGACTGTTGATGAGTCAGGTAAGAGATGGAAATCAAAGCCAACCGTGTACAAGGGAGACCGCGCGGATAATCGCCACCATACAGTATTGATTTGGTACACGTACCTGGTGCTCACATTTGATAATTAGAATGAAGCTATGAATTGGGCTAAATGATTATAATGTATTGAAAGTGAATGGGAGCCTGATTAGAGGTGAGGCAGAGCAGTGCGGCACACAGGTACAATCCACCATCATAGGCTCCTTGCGGCGCGTGCCAGTCGCGCGGGGCTGTTCTTCCGGCACGCGATCAAAGGTCCAAGGGAGGGGAGAGTCCGGGTCCATTGTACTCCGCTTAGCAGGTTTGGCAAAGGGTGCACGCTATTGGCCAATTCGTCCATTGTGTCCTGTCCGCCATCGGCAACAGCACGGGGTTATGTTATTAATATGATAAAGTGGATCGATACCGACCTCTGCCGCTCCGCTCGCCCATGGTGCTTTGTTCTGCCAGACAAGGGTACGGGGAAGAGGCAACAGCCTGAAAACACTCGGGTACTCATATCAATATTTCACTCGTTCCTACACACATTTATGATCAAGATCCTGCTATGGCCGATAGCTTCTGTGTACTGTTGTGATTAGGTATCCAGGATTAAAATCGTAAGGTTCTTTATATATGCCAAGACTTCAGTGACCACTTTACTTATTTGGTAAAGTTTGGGTAAGTTTTTTATTCGCCATTGTCTCATGACTGTCTGGTATTGGCGAACAAATAAACAGCTGGTCTACGTTGATATTTACTAATAGTTCTGTTTAGAAGTAATGTGAAGATTTTACCTGTCTTTTTTTCAACAATCGGCAAAGATCGTTCACACCTTACAGTAATGTTTTTATCTTCCAGGAGAGCATGTCTAGTGCGGATAGCGTTGCCAGTGGTGATCAGAGTCCCTCTCCCTCAGCCGAGGAGGCCAACGGTAACCACACATCGATGTTAAAACCAGGTGAGTTTGACGTCATTGGTTTAAAGAGCGATAAAAGTCATGAACGTAAAGATACCTATGAAACTCAGATTGTGACCTGTTTAAGATTTACTATTCTCTTACTATCATATCTGCACAGAAAATAATAAATCAGAAATAAATACTGTTAATGTATTATTATATATAGTCGTATTTCAAATGAGTCATACTAAGTGTGTCATTTTTTGAACGATGTTTAAACTGGAGAAGTATAGCTATGGTAAAGCATAGCTATGTGTTTAGATCAATTTCTCTCTAAGACTTGAATTATTTGTTCGTGTTTCCAAAGTCTAAATACAGCTGTTATGTGTTAATGGTCACAAATAAGTACAGTTTTAGATTGATTTGTATGCAGACAGTTTTTAAAAACTCATCAAATATCAAATGCATGCAATTAAAACTATGACGATTCTCATTTAACCGTTGATAATTAGGCAATCGCTGACAAATCTTTTTGGCGCATTCGACCAATTAAACACACTTCTTTTTTTGATTTATTAACAATTCAGTAAGGGAGACAATATATGAATTTCAATAATACTGGAACATTTTCAATAATGCTGGAACATAGGACATTGATGATTGTTTTCCTGGCACTATCTTCAGTGTTACATATTGCAGTCCCGAAGGACTGGTACTAAATGCACACGAACAAATTCATTTTTATAGGAAAACCTGTGAACTTTTATGAAGTGGGTAAGCTTTAAACATTCAAAATGTCATTAAGTTTTAAGTGATTCCATGGGAGTGGGGTAAACCACGTTACAAGGGGCGTCACCGTCCGATCCGAATGACGTTTGCCCCAGCTTCGTACAGCGAAGCAAGTCGAGCACAACTGCCTACTGGCACTGCTTTGGAGCACTACGTGGGGAGACTACGCGCAACAGCGACTCGTGGCTTAAGTTTTAAACCAAAATCGTAATATCTAAGCTGTGTAAATCTAACCACCAGCGGGTCTTTAACTTATATGGGCGCGATGTGACTGCTCCCGAAGGAGCCGTTGTAAAACCCTCACGCTACGCGACTAAGGGGCCCGCATGTTGTTTGTGTCTCCTATCCATTACGTTAGTACTGGGCTCAAATTTACGGCCTTCGTTATGGTGCGTCATGTCCTGTTACAGGTCAATGTGTCGACCTGTGCAGGCGAGTGGTGCGTAAATATTGCCACGCTCTTAAAAGCTCAAATAGCCACAATTACATCATTCAAGTGGAGAAATTACGTATGGCGACACTGTTGTCTGTCGTTCCAAACTAAATAGGGGTGTAAGAACGAGCGATACGACAGATTCAAGGCACCGATTTGTCTCTGCCGGCTTTGATCTCGCCAAATTAGAATATACGGCTGTTCTTAAATCAACATTCCATGACGTCACTGGAACACTAGCGTTTGATGGACACCGCTACCTAAACTCTGCATAATGGAACTCTGCAATCTTGACAGCACGTGTCTTGGACCAGCGATAAGTTATTGAGCCAAGCCAAGTTCTGAGACATCAGTTGAAAAACTACATTTCTTTGAAAGCATCCACATATCTCATAATGTAACTGGGCCTGACCAAACCGTATTGATGTATGTGTATAGAACTTTTGGAACAAGAAAAGTTCAATAACACTAACAGATGGGTTAAAATATATTTGAAACAATTAATCTATATGTATGTTTACTTACTTAATAAATGTAGGAATACACAACGCCAATTAATAAATTTCCTTTTTATCATGTTCATGATATTTAGTTTTCCGTCAATACATGATCAACGTCGAAATGAAATGTTCTAATCAGGATATAAATGTCTTTTCTGCAGTGATGTCTTGTTTATTGGTTAAAATTACGTTTGAAAAAAAGTATGACATAGGTACGTCACAACCGGTATGTCACATAGGCACGTCACTACTAATATGTGACAAAAGTACGTCACTACCGTTATGTCACATAGGTGCGTCACTTCCGGTATGTCACATATGTACATGTACGTCACTACCGGTATGTCACACAGGTAACGTCACTACCGGTATGTCACATATGTACGTCACTACCGGTATGTCACACATGTACGTCACTACCGCTATGTCACAAAGGTACGTCACTACCGCTATGTCACAAAGGTACATGTACGTCACTACCGGTATGTCACATGTATACGTCACTATCGATGTCACATAAGTACGTCACTACCGGTATGTCACTACCGGTATGTCACATAGGTACATGTACGTCACTACCGGTATGTCCGGATTACGTCACTATCGATGTCACATAGGTACGTCGCTATCGGTATGTCACATAGGTGCGTCACTTCCGGTATGTCACATATGTACATGTACGTCACTACCGGTATGTCACACAGGTAACGTCACTACCGGTATGTCACATATGTACGTCACTACCACTATGTCACATAGGTACATGTACGTCAATACCGGTATGTCCGGATGTACGTCACTATCGATGTCACATAGGTACGTCGCTACCGCTATGTAACACATGTACGTCAATACCGGTATGTCACATAGGTACGTCCCTATCGGTATGTCACACAGGTACGTCCCTACCGGTATGTCACATAGGTACGTCACTACTGGTAAGTCACATATATACGTCCCTACCGGTATGTCACATATATACGTCCCTATCGGTATGTCACATAGGTACGTCATTACCAGTATGTCACATATACGTCACTACCGGTATGTCATACGTGTACGTCAATACCGGTATGTCTTATAGGTACGTCACTACCGGTATGTCACATAGGTACGTCGCTACCGGTTTATCACACAGGTACGTCACTACCGGTATGTCACACATGTACGTCACTACCGGTATGTCACATAGGTACGTCCCTTCCGGTATGTCACATAGGTACGTCACTACCAGTATGTCACATGTACCTCACTACCGATATGTCACACAGGTACGTCACTACCGGTATTTCACATAGATACGACACTACCGGTATGTAGCACAAGTTTGTACGTCATTACCGATATGTCATACGTGTACGTCACTACCGATATGTCACATAGGTCCGACACTACCGATATGACACATAAGAACGACAATACCGAAATGTCACATAGGTACGTCACTACCGATATGTCATACGTGTACGTCAATACCGGTATGTCACATAAGTACAAAACTACCGAAATGTTAAAATTGTACAAGACTAATTTTATATAATGTCAAGGAACTGCTCCAATTAATTTGTTTTAATTTGACCTCAAGAGGTATTACGTGTAAACATAAGCTGATAAGATTGTTGAATTTCCATATATAGTTGTTTACTCGTTGTATATTTTAATAATTGTTTAATCTTGATTGCAATCAGAATTGATGAAGCTGAAGAACGACCAAACAGATTGGCTCTCTAAGAATTAGGTGTTGACGCAGAGATGTGCTAAGAATTAGGTTTTGACGCAGTAATGTGCTGAGAATTAGGTGTTGTCGCAGTGATGTGTTGAGAATTAGGGTTTGACGCAGTGATGTGCTAAGAATTAGGTTTTGACGCAGTGATGTGCTGAGAATTAGGTGTTGACGCAGTGATGTGCTGATAATTAGGTTTTGACGCAGTAATGTGCTAAGAATTAGGTTTTGACGCAGTAATGTGCTGAGAATTAGGTTTTGACGCAGTATTGTGCTAAGAATTAGGTTTTGACGCAGTAATGTGCTGAGAATTAGGTTTTGACGCAGTGATGTGCTAAGAATTAGGTTTTGACGCTGTAATATGCTGAGAATTAGGTGTTGACGCAGTGATGTGCTAAGAATTAGGTTTTGACGCTGTAATGTGCTGAGAATTAGGTGTTGACGTAGTAATGTGCTGAGAATTAGGTTTAGGCGCAGTGATGTGCTAAGAATTAGTTTTTGACGCAGTGATGTGCTAAGAATTAGGTTTAGACGCAGTGATGTGCTGATAATTTGGTGCAGATCCAACAACTAGTACGAAGAGCTGTAAACATTCTAACCTTCTCATACTTGTGATTAGGATAGGTTCAAACGAACATACTTCAACGAATTTCTAGGTCCCTGTTGTTGATATAACGAATTCCTAGGTCCCTGTGGTTGATATAACGAATTCCTAGGTCCCTGTGGTTAATATAACGAATTTCTAGGTTCCTGTGGTTAATATAACGAATTTCTAGGTCCCTGTGGTTGATATAACGAATTCCTAGGTCCCTGTGGTTGATATAACGAATTCTTCCTAGGTCCCTGTGGTTGATATAACGAATTTCTAGGTCCCTGTGGTTGATAAAACGAATTCCTAGGTCCCTGTTGTTGATATAACGAATTCCGAGGTCCCTGTGGTTGATATGACGAATTCCTAGGTTCCTGTGGTTGATATAACAAATTCCTAGGGCCTTGTGGTTGATATAACGAATTTTCCTAGGTCCCTGTGGTTGATATGACGAATTCCTAGGTTCCTGTGGTTGATATAACAAATTCCTAGGTCCTTGTGGTTGATATAACGAATTTCTAGGTCCCTGTGGTTGATATAACGAATTCTTCCTAGGTCCCTGTGTTGATATAACGATGTCCGAGGTCCCTGTGTTGATATAACGATGTCCTAGGTCCCTGTGGTTGATATGACGAATTTCTAGGTCCCTTTGTTGATATAACGAATTCCTAGGTCCCTGTGGTAGATATAACGAATTTCTAGGTCCCTGTGGTTGATAAAACGAATTCCTAGGTCCCTGTGGGTGATATAACGAATTTCTAGGTCCCTGTGGTTGATAAATCGAATTCCTAGGTCCCTGTGGTTGATATAACGAATTCCTAGGTCCTTGTGGTTGATATAACGAAATGTCCTAGGTCCCTGTGGTTGATATAACGATGTCCTAGATCCCTGTGGTTGATATAACAAATTCCTAGGTCCTTGTGGTTGATATAACAAATTCCTAGGTCCTTGTGGTTGATATAACAAATTCCTAGGTCCTTGTGGTTGATATAACGAAATGTCCTAGGTCCCTGTGGTTGATATAAC